AGAGAGAGAGAGAGAGAGAGAGAGAGAGAGAGAGCTGTCACGTTATAAGGAAGCGCTGGAAAACAGGCAATAAGTCAGGAGAGTTAAAAAAAAGAAAGCCACAAGCACGAATGAAACCTCTAAACTTGCTGCACGGCTAGTGAATGGCAATGTTAGTGCTGACCTAACCAATACTCAATGAGATGGAAATTTCATCTCCAGCCAAGGAGTACTATACTCCTTGTCTCCAGCATAAGATCCCCCTCAGACCTTGCATCGACTTATGGATTGCACACGCCTGTGTATTTCGGAGACTTGACGCAAGTCCTGTCCGAAAGAAAAAAAAAAGAAAAAAAAGAAAGTGTTTTTTTTTACGTCCCAATAGTCCCAATTTAGATAGTTCAGGAAGACAGCTTCCGATCCTGTTTGTCAGGGCCGACCTGGGCTTAGAGGGATACAGCATACCAGCAGAAAGATCAAGATACTCGATAACAATTTCTCCCTACTCGTCCTGTCCGATGCTAAGGAATAATCTCTATTGTGATGAAAATGTACACTATAAAAGACAAAAGTGTTCTGAATTTTATGTAAGTCATTTTGCCACAAGGTACAAGGTAGTGTAAAAATTTATAATCAGTTCGATCACTTTAATTAATGACACCACCAAAAACATCGTCAGACCCATTTGTTAAGAGCGGTCAAAGATTGTGATTCCATCCTTAACGTAATTTCCAGCTGGATGTTATTTTACGGAATTACCTATATAGGATACAGCAAGTTAGAACAACAGCAAGTTAGAACAACAGCAACAACAACAGCAACAGCAACAACAACAGCAATAGCAACAGCAACAACAACAACAACAACAAAGCTAAAGGTACTTGTCTATGCGAGACACGAAACTGTTTTAGTCAGCGCATTTGATGACATCTAAGATATTAAGGGAAGACGCGTTTTGTTATTTTTACCAAATATGGTCACATTCTTCATGTGCGTGCTTGGAGACTTTCAACAGGTCTATAAAGTAATTGTTGCATCTTTAAGTACTGATGGTGATCATTTGTGAGGGAATTTTCTAAGTTAATTGACATTTTTGCACTTGTTTCCTGTGTTTTTGATTAGGGTTCCCACCTAATATCGATCTATAAATAGTTGAGCAGGTTCATAGAACCGCCTAAGCGTGCTAACAGCTCCTTTAAATTATCAACAACAGACACAGTAACAGCGACCAAAGAAGATACAATAGCATTTGACCTAGAGCAAAGAGGTGAGGGTTGCGGTGGAGGAAGGGAGGTGATAACTGGACCTACAGCAAACTTGCACACAATGCAGCCCGTCATATGGTAAGATAACAAAATGAAACAAACTAAGCTTAGATATTTCTTTTGTAATGGTGTCTTTGGCAGGTTCAAAGCCAGTCTCCTAAAAGATCTAAATATATGTCGCTTTGGCCGCAAAATACCCATGAGTTAAAAAAAAGGATGTTTCTTGATGGGATCACTTTTCTCTTCTTTCATTCTTTCCCCCTTTCTCTTTCCTCTGATTTTTGGACAAAGAAGACAGATTTGCATTAAGTAGGAGGTTACATTCAAACAAGGGCAGTAAAAGTAGTGTCATAGCATATCCAAAAGAAGATGCCGGCACCAGACGGATAAATTACTAGAAAATGCTAACAGTAATATTACAATTGAACCCCGCCCCCCCCCGCCCCTGCGAGAAAAAAATAAAACAGCAAAACAAAAAACAAAACAAACAAAAACAAAACAAAAACAAACAAACCCCCAAAACCAACCAACCAACTAAAACAACAAAAACCTCAAAGCTAAGTCTGTTTACATGGAGTATTTCTCACCTGTGTCATAGCCAAACAATAAACCGCCAATTGTGGCAAAACACGCCAAATAATAGACAAAGAACGGCGTGGGAACTGGGGTTTCATCTTTCTTCCCGCTGTATCCGTTAGCTTCTCCTTTCCCGCCATCGAGTCCAGTGTCCAGGTAGTGTCCATTCTTCTGCTCCATCCTGTCTGGGTACAATGGGTCGCGCTCACTACTTGTGCATTCCCCGTCAGAACCTGTAGGATTGAGAGAATTATGGCTTCTGTCACTTCCTGAGAAAAGGCGTTTGTTCAGAGTCCGAATAAACACACCGAAAAGAGAATTTGGTGCGCACGATTGATTATGAGTGTTTGGCGTGTCTCCTTGAGAAGCTCCTGACGCCCTTTGAGCTTTTGGAGATTGTTTGAAGTTTTTACGGTCGTTGTTTAAGTCTTTTGGCGCTTTTCGTTGATCGGGACGACGGCAGACTTGAACAATGGCGTCTGAATCGGAAACAGGCTCGTTGCCTTGTAGAAAAGTGTTGTTGTTGTTGTTGTTGTTGTTGTTGTTGTTGTTGTAGTTGTTCTGCGGTGTGGAGTCGGGGGGATGTGAGGCTTCTGAGACACTGGGAGGGAGTACAGAGGAGTTAGTTGTGGAGGAGGGGGTCGATTGAACGAGATCTGTGGTGGACGGTGGGACGTTCGAGACAGTGGCAGAGGTAGGGACAGTTTGAGGCGATAGGCCGGAGCTCGAATCCTCCTGACTGTTGTCGCCCGCGGGTGGCGATTGTCGTGGAGAGTTGGTGGTGGGTGGTGGAGAGAGAATGTGCTGCTGTCTGGTGGTGACGCCGCTAGCAGCACCTGTAAACACAACAGACGTTCATACACGTGGCCAGGAAAAGTTACAATACAATTCAGTTTTTATTTTTTCGTGTTACTCAACACAATGATTATGAATATCCCCTCTTCCCTTCCAACCCCACCTGTTTCCTCCCATCGTTGAAGGCCCACAAAACGATATAGTATGTATTAGTAAGAGCTTTATGGCACTTGCAACACAAGGTCATATAAGTGCCGAAGATTAGAGGTGTTAGAAGAGAGTAAAAGACACAAAAAAGAAGGAGGAGGGATAAGCACGATAGATGTTTGATAGCAAAGAAGGAGCAGACCACACCAGAGTATCCACAAATCACCCATACAAAACAATAACCGTTTTTAGTCTCCGAAACACTAGAAGGCAGAAGCATGGTATCTTATAGTTAAATTTCAACATGGAAGTCAACACCTTTTTGCCAATGTAAATTGGATCCGAATTCTCAGACTAGCCAAAACGCAAAGTCATTCTGCTTGAGGTTGATGGTGCCATCAAATAACTTGTTATTAAATCGTAAAGTTCACACTTTCATTCATGCCACTATTTGGGTTTGCTCAATTAAATGTGCCAAGAGGTGATGGGATCAGGTGCTTGTTAATTTTTGGGCGCATAGGGTTATTCACATTATCTTAAAGCCTGTTTATTTACCTTGCTTTCAAGGGAAAAAACCCCGTCTATCATGAATATAAGTCGACACATTTGAGATCGAAGAAGGTGGGAGTCGCCTAGTGTTAGAGGTAAAAGCAAAAATTATGAGAAAACGGCCGCCACACTTTGGTGACTCCCAAAGCTATAACGTCCTTGGAAAATGCAAATTTACATTGATAAACCTCTTTTCTTTAGTAAAACCCGCTGAGGAATGTGTTTTAAAATTCAAATGTACATAAAAAATATTAAGCCCAAAACAAAAACCCAAAACAAAAACCCCAAACAAAAAAAAAAATAAAAAAAAAAAATTGCTTAACTGGCGGAAAAATGTCGGTTGCTTCGATTTCAATATTTTGACGAGTGCCTGATGTCACCACGATGCCACACAAATGCTTAAGTCACAATAACGATGAAAACTTAAACAAGTAGAATGCATTGACTTGGAATGGGTCTCAGGAAACTGGAAAAAGAATCCAAAATCCAAGGAGTTTTTATAAGTTGCCAATGCCCTCATCTATTTTCGACCTACAAAAGAATAACACAGAGCAAGACAAATGTAACCAAAAAAAAAAATTAAAAAAAAAAAAAAAGGAAAAAAAAATCGAATTAAAACAAAAATGTAACTCCAATCTTAAAACAATTTCTAAATGTTAAAATACTTAATGTTACTTTTCACAACGTAATTTCCTTTTTTTCCCACTTTGCCTTGCCGAAGATGAACATTTTTGTTTTCGTGTTCATTAATATTTCATTAACTGGATTAAACAACTTTATTTACTTGTGAGTCAAACTGCAAGCGATGCGCCCTGGGAGGTGGAATACTCAATAAAACGCGACTTGCTTTTTTATACAGCATTATCGACGCAATAAATAATATATATCTTACTTCAAGTATGCTTTAAAGTCCTTTTTAGACAAATAGGATTAAATAAATTAATCTTATAGATGAAAAGAAGCCACCCACAAAACGTCACATTTGTTTTCGGCAAATCCTTCACGTCTTTATCTTAAGTGCTTTCTTCGTACCAGTGAGCACTCGAATTGACTTTGAAGTGCAAAAGATCCGCAAAACGTAGATGAAAAAACTTTTGAACGACGCACGATTCACACAGTCCTCAACCTTTGCGCTCTGGTCTGCTGAGGACACATTCACGGACACCTCCGACTGATCACGAAGCTGACTCGGACAGTGCAGGTCACCGACAGCATTTCAAGCGCCCCTCTTGTCTCCCAGCTCACTAGAAGTTATAGAATCACCGAACTTCCACCCACCTTAGGTAAACTTTCCTTCTGCCCTCCCTCCCTTCTTCCTTCCCTCCCTCCCTCCCTCCACCCCTTCCTCCACCCATCTCCCCTCAAATCCCAGTGCCCACATAATGGCGTGTCTACAGTAATGCTTGATGCACTGGGTGCGTTGCACCTAGATGAAAGGAGATTAAATGTTTGTGTTGTATTAGAGCTAAGCTTTATCATCTTTGATTACATCACGGTTACATCTGAAAATTGCACCAACAATAATAACTAAACAAACACCAGTACCGCTAGGCCAACATTTCCTGTGGTGACCTTACTAGGGCTCTTTTTGATATTTAAGACATATTTTTATCTAATAACAAGGTGCACGAAAGTTGAGAGTTGATTGTTTTAAAAGCGCCTCTCAAAAATGGTTTGTTCCAATCTATTTGATAAGGGTAGACATTATTATCATTATCCGTGTGCACATGTTCGCATACTTGCTAGAGCGAGTGGATGTGTGTGTGTGTGTGTGTGTGTGTGTGTGTGTGTGTGTGTGTGTGTGTGTGTGTGTGTGTGTGA